GTGATTTCAGCTGTAACGGGTTCTTCATTTGTTCCAGGTGGCTCAAATGCATAATGAAGCTCTCATCTCTGTTTACAACCGATGACAGGGAGGTAGAATCTACTTAACACGGGTGAAAAGCGGTATCAGGAATTATGCCTACCAAATGTAACGTCATTCGACTTTGCCGTGAAGGGAGGGAGTGAGAAGCGAAAGAGAGAGTTGGGTTCAGAGGCGAATTACAGGAGAGGAAGGACAGCAGCGCGACCAACTCCACCTTTTTTTGCGAAAGTGAGCACTTTAATACCTCTTGAATAATATCATACCAACCCTATGAGACAGGAAAAGGGAGGAGGTGTGAATACACGATCTGAGGTATAGCTCAATACATTTGAAAGGAGCGTAGTTCTCATCGTATGTAGCGCAAGCAAAAAAGGAAGAGATGCTCAGGAGCTTGAAGGGAATCCCAGCAACGCTGTCAAGTATCGTGTGCGCTTTATACTACTAAACTTTACTGTATAAAATCAGTATATTTGAATGAAGGTGGAAGTTTAAAATTTATAATTTTTTAGAAAGAAGAATTTTTGCTCTTGATGCAAATTAACAGCAATCCGCATTTTCGAGAACCTGTGGTCTACAGCTTCGTTCGAGTCACGCTCTCACATCATCTCTGTATCGTTAACACGGTAAAGGCATAGTTACAGACCAGCGGTCTTAGAAGTCTATTTAACGCGTTCTTTGATAAAAATATTCTTAAAAAAAAGCTGTGGGCATTTCAGGAATTCTAAATTTTGCTGTGGTCTCCATTTTGCTGGAGAAGGGTTTTCAGGTGTTAATGGCGAAATTATCACACGTTTTGTGCTGTGTAACAGCAGTACAAAACGCGTATTGTCACGGGTTTGTCTGTGTGTGTCCGCAGCAACTTGTCCGCAACTTTCAACTCGGGAACCACAAAAGCTAGGAAGCTGAAATAGGGTAACGTTTCCCACCCACGTGTGACCCCACAAATTTAAATTCAGCTTCCCCGTACCCTGGGTAACGCGTACGACCCCGCGAAAGTTTTTTACGGGTAAGCTAATATCTCGGGAATCACGGAGTCTAGGAGGCTGAAATTTTAGGGTGTTGACCCACTGCCCACGCTCAACTTTGTCCATTCAAAGTCAGCCTTCCCTTACCCGTGGGTAACACGTACGGCCCCGTGAAAGTTTTTCACGGGTAAGTTAATA